CCAAAGTGGTATGGAAATGTTTTTAAACATCTTTTAAGTAAAGGCTAAACCTGTAACAATCAAAGAGAAATCTGATGAGGCCAGAAATAAAACAGGAATCCTAATCCAGGGAAGATAGGCTAATCTGGTGATCCTTCAAGAAATTCTAGATTAGGAAGGTCATCTAATGCTAGACATCACATCCCACAGAGTTTAGCAACAAAGGACAAAGAGATGAAGAATATGAAGGAGTAGTTAAGACATGTGAAAGTAAGTGACAAGTCAGAGGAGAATGTCCTAAGGTTATGGTAATGGTGATGAGGAAAGATAACAGTTTTCACAGATAAAATTGCCACAGAGTTTCCAAATGATACTCAAAGAACACTAGAGTGTTAAACTAAAAGAAAGCCATACTGAGAAGATATAATTTTTAACTCAGGGTAGACATACCCTATAATAAGGGTAGTCAAGAGGTAATGAAGTAAAAAATTGTTACCAACCTGCAAGTTTTATTATTATTATTATTATCATTATTATTATTATGTAGTTGTACAAAAGGGTTACAAATCCATAAATCAGTTTTTGGTTAATGCTACTGCTTCCTTTGTCTCCACCATTTTCCCCCTCCCCGCCCTACCCTCACATTACATAGTTCAGTTTTTACATAATATATGTCGAATATAATGACTACATTTGCTCACCCTTCCTCCATTCACATGCCCCTCCCTTTGCTCACCCTCAAAACCTGCAAGTTTCTTAAAATGCTTTTATGGAACACAAAAAAAATCTAACAAATTATGAAAGACCATTCCTAAAGTCAGAATTTGTAAGGGTATACATTAAGAAGTAAGATTTGAGGCATTTAAGAAAAATCTGAGGTACAAAGAAGTAACAAATAAAAGTAAAAGTAAAATGAGGGTGGCCTCAACAGACAGTAGCAGATTATTTTTTAATGATGATTTTAGCAGTCCCTTTCCCCTGTCTCATAGCAACACTCCAGCTGAAGGCTTGAACTCAGGTCCTGGAGCTCATTTGGCTTTCTTGCGCATGGCTGGCACTCTAGGACTTGAGCCATGCACCCAGCTAGTTTAATACCAGTTATTTTAGAAATCGAATTTTGCATTCAAACCACCATTTCTAGGTTTCAGCCTGGTACGTAGCTAGGATTATAGGTGTGAGCCACTAGCTCTAGTAGCACCAGTTTGGTAGCACTTTTTTTTTGGAGGGGGGGGGGTCCGGTCGTGGGGCCTGAACTCTGGGCCTGAGCACTGTCCCTCAGCTCTTCAGCTCAAGGCTAGTGCTCTACCACTTGAGTCACAGTGCCACTTCTGGCTTTATTTTTTCTGCTTATGTGGTGCTGAGGAATCGAACCCAGGGCCTCAGGCATGCAAGGCAAGCGCTCTACCACTGAGCCACCTTCCCAGCCCTCTGGTAGCACTTTTTTTAAAAAGGCAAGTAACTGACATTGCTATCATGAAAGGTTGGCGGCAGATTACTGGAATGAAAACATTCTAGGCTCTTATATTTTCAGGAAGGAAAGTAATCCATTATCTTTGGGATTGAAAGAAGAATATTAAGAACCACTGTGAGAACATGATGAGAACATAAACATGTCATTGTTTAATTAAGTTACATGAACACTTTTATCACAGTGGCTACCTGGGATACTTCATAAACTTCCTACTACCCCTGTAGTTAAATCCAGTCAAATCCATTGACTTTCCTGCAAGTCAGTAACCTTTTACCTCATGCCTCTCATGGTGTTTGCATGTAATTGCAGTTAAGACTCCTTTATCCACTGTATAAACCAGGTGTTCCTAAATCACTTTCCGTGCACCACAATTGTTATTCTGAGGCTCTGTCTTCATTGCTTGGTGTCTGTCTAGTCCATTATGTGCCTCACTGTGTACAGCTTCAGTAGCAGCGCTCTGTGTGTGTGTGTGTGTGTGTGTGTGTGTGTGTATGTGTGTGTGTGTGTGTGTGTGTGCAGAGCAGCTGAGCCTGCCTCTGGAGAACCTCCCAGCTTATTCCAGTGCCCACTGCTCACTTCTCGGAAGTGTACTGTCGACGCTCTGTGTGTGTGTGTGTGTGTGTGTGTGTGTGTGTGTGTGTGTGTGTGTGTGTGTGTGTGTGCAGAGCAGCTGAGCCTGCCTCTGGAGAACCTCCCAGCTTATTCCAGTGCCCACTGCTCACTTCTCTGAAGTTCACTGTCTATGCCAACCTTCTCGTGTAAAATGGAGATGGTAGTAGTAACTTTCTCTTATCATTCTCAAAGTAAGTATACCCAAATGTGGATGAATGGATCAACCCATGCCAAAGCCCTGCAGGCACAGTTTTGTAGCATGCTGTCTACTGGAGCATCCTCACTTCTTGAATGTCTTATTAGGAGGGCTATTTCCTGTCTTAGCTCAATTGTTACTGACTAAAGTCAGGAGGAAGTCTGACATGTCTGTAGAAGATGAGAAAGAGAGAGTGATTTAGCATTTGTTGTCAGGTATGATGCTCAATGCACATTTCACATGGAGAGCTCTGTGGAACCTGTTTCCAGTAGGCTTGATGTGGAAATGATAAAAGCAAATAGATTTGCAGATTTTTGAGCTGAAGGAACCTCAGGATCCCACTAACCTAATTTTGGGGCTACAAGGAAAGCTCTTCAGCAGCAGGCCCCATGACTGTACTGTAGAAATGACAGGATTTTCTCTAAAGTCTTCTTTCCATACTTAGCCAGTGCTTTACCTTAACTTATGTGAAGTACCCACATTCTGAATTGAAGGATTCAAGTCCTGAGGGCTTGAATGACTTGTCAGGAGTTACCAGTCACCCAGTGGGGGTGAGGACAGGTTTGAGTTAAGGCAAGGAGTAGAAGGGTTTGGAACCCAGATGGTCTGTGTTCCTGTCTGCTGCCTCCACCACACCCCATGGTCTCTGGCCCTGAGCTCTGACAATTCCCACAGCCCAGGCTCACCTCTGTGTGCAGTAACACCAGAATTTGCCTTCATTGGGCAGTATAGTGAATTCACCTCTTTATGTGTTTGATCTGTAGACTTCTTTCATACTGGACAGATACTTCCTTTATGAAGGCAATTAGGTATATTTTTTTTATGGAGGAGACACTTTTAAATCTCACCTAGTGGGAACAGAAGGGATGCCGTTTTTTTTTTCTTTCCCTGGAAGCCTGCAGAGCCGACGTGCTGAAGCCTTGCTTGCCAGGTGGGCTCTCAGTATGGTGCTGGCAAGAGCACTTGGGCTCTGTAGGTGGGTATTCACCTGCCCTCCAAGCCCATGAGTTCCGAGAACTCATTCAAATGGCATTTAAAGAATTTGCTTCAGAATAATATACTTCCTAAATGAGTCAGGTATCCAAGTTTCAGAGGCCCTAAAGACAGCCAAATATTTGAGAAAGGAATAAATGACTTCCACTGTATGTTTGAACTAATATGGTTAGGAAAACGACATTTGGGTGACAACATTTTCCAGTTACAGATTTTAAATTTATTAGTATTAAGGATAATTGGAAGCTGCATCAGATGTCAGCAAGGATGCTAGGGTAGGCAGGAGGTAACTTATACACTCCTGGTGGGAGTGTAAACTAGCCACTATGGAAGGCAGTGTAGATGTTCCTGGAGTGCTATATGATCCTGCACTTTCACCCCTGAGTATATATCTGAATGAAGTAAACTCAGCATACGATTGAGATACCCCTATACCCATGGCACTATTCATGATAGCTAAACTATGGAGAGTAGATAAAGAAAATGTAGTAGGTAGGCTCAGTGAAGTGTTACTCAGACATTAAGAAAACAAAAGTATTTCATTTACTTGAAAATGTATATGAAGCTGGAGATCAGCATGTTAAATGTTAAATGTTTTCTGTCATATGCAGAATCTAGATGAAAAATAAAAATGACATGAAAGTAGCAAGAGGAAACACCTCAGGGAAAGGAATGGGGAACCAGTTGAAGTGATGATCAGGGAAAGACAAGTGGGAAGGTGAATATTATCAAAGCACATGATATACATATTTGAGAATGTAAACTCACGTTTTTTCTTTTTATTACTATCTGTAAACAGTTGTGCAGAGGAGCTGCCATTTAACAAAGCAGTCTATGAATGCAATGTGTCTTGATAAATGTCACCTCTGTCAACATTCTCACCCATCCCCACCCCTTTCATTCATTTTTCTTAACTTTGTAAGCTGTCTATTGGATTCTTGGCTGCATTCTCCCCTCAACTCTTCTACATTCTCCCATCTCCTTTTTAGTAATCTGTATTTTTGTCTGAAAAAATGAGTAGGCATTTATTAAGCAAATGGAGAAATTCTTTATATTCTAGCAAAACAAAAAGAATATAAGAGACTTCTGAAACCATTAATTAACTTGGGCAATCTTCTTTACAGCAGTTAACAGCTGCTTTGCACTGGGGTAGGCCCTGTGAATTGTGAAAATGAACGATGCTCACTCCCAAGTCATTCACATTCTAGGGAAAGAGTCCTTTAGGAGAAGAAGTCGTGACAGTATCTGTGTCAGATCTGTAGGAATGACATCAATTAAAGCTGTGATCCACTCAGGAGGATGTGGGAGAAAAAGCTGAGCAGTCCTTTCACAATCTAGCCCTTCTCTTGAAGTAATATGTCAGCCCTTTTGCCTTCCCAGTTAGTAAATCATCTGGAAGGGAAGGGGGAGAGCCTTGCTCCTGGATTCGTTTTCTGGATGGTCCTCCCCAATTGTATGATCACGAGGAGGCTATTTCTTTTTGCTTCTGTTTAGTAAAAAGAGGAGAGTGCTCACACCTATTTGGCAGAATTATTATAAAGATTAAGAAAACTCATGGAAAATGTTTTATAATATTGCCTCATATACCATAAGGTTCAAGAAAATTTTAATTCTCATTGTCATCTGATAGCTAATAAAATATTGAGACACAATCATTATACTGATGTTTTATATTTTTCTTTTAAAGTGTTCATTTTTTTAAGTGTTCATTTCTTTGAAGTAAAAGTTTATATTTTTTTGCTTTTTTAGCTCCAAGAGGAAAGCGAGGATGGAAAACCTTTTATGCTGTCCTGAAGGGAACTGTCCTTTACTTGCAAAAGGTAAAAGTACAGTGGATAAAAATAAAACACATAATTTTATGAAACAATAATTGAAAGTAACCCAATACTTGGTTTTAAAAAAATGCTGCACCAAACATTCATAAGACTATTTAATTGATACTTAAAAGTTTGTGTGTGTGTTCCTGTGTGTATGTGTGTCCATATTTCTGGTGAACAAATTATTGTGGAGTATACATATACACACACAACCAAAAGAATGGATGGGCCATGTTCTCTTGTGCAGAAAGAAGTATGGAACGTAAGTTGGTAAGTTAGACCTCATCTAGCAGGTGCAAGTATAGACTTGTGTCAGCATCTGCTTCCATAGGTATTTATACTATAGTTTCAGCTTTCATTTATATCCTGATTCTTGCTAGCTTAGTTTCAAACCTACTTACAATTAGACACATGTGTTTTCATTGAGTCCTGAAATCTTTGTACATGCAGTGCAAATGGATGTATTCCAAATTACTATACCACTCTCCTCCCTGTCAGGATTTGTTCTTTCAGTCTCCAAATCTGGAAATCGATTTGGGATTCAGTTTATTGTTTCTGGTTCATTGGAGGGTAGTTCCTGACCAGCTCTATGTGAGTGGAAAAAGGAAAGTTGCATGTTGATGGAATTGTTTTCTGAAAACTTCCCAGGGCCCAACAGAATTCTGGTACCCCCTATCAAGATACAGGAATCAAATTAAGGATAAGAGGAAGCAAAACACAGATTTGTGTGTGCGTATGCATATTTGCTAAAACATGAGATTTGTCCTTGTAATTGTACTATAATTGCAATGCTGTATAACACATCTAGAGAACTTTGCTCTTGTGTGGCTGAACCTCTCCAGAGCAGCTCTCCATTCATCCCCCTCCTCGGCTCCTCAAGGTTATCCTTAGGCTTTGGTTCTCTGAGTTGGACTGTTTTAGGTGACTCATGTAAGGGGAATCATGTAGAATTTTATAGAATGTTTCAGCTCTCTATCCTTTTCAGTATTCCCTCCATTTCAGTGTTTTTTTTAATGTATATTTCGTATTTTGTATTTGTTCTTCCATTCATGGACACTTAACATTATCTCCACATCTTTGGCTGCTGTGAATGATGCACTGAATGCTGTAAAGAGTGGTGAATGCATTGGATTGTAGTGAGGAACCTCCATGTTGTTTTTCAAAATGACTCTGCCATTTTGTATCACCACAGTAGGATATAGGGCTTCCGTTTCCTCACATCCTCACCAGCCCTTGTTATTTATTTATTTGTTTAATAGCCATCCTAACAGAGACTGAGAACTAGCTGTGGTTCTGATTCATATTAGAAATAAGAAAAGCTAGAAGTGTTTTTCCACTCTGTACTCTCATACCAAATAAAGAACACTTCCGTGACCCACACCGGCCAGTGGACACCAGAAGTTTGTCCTCTAATCCATTCTAATAGGACACTGCACTGAGATAGCTTCACATCCCACAGTTTGGGGGTTAATCCCACAAGACTGTCCCCTACGTTAGATTCCAGTCACAGCTGGTAGATTATTCTCTATGCTTCTGACCAACCAGCTACAAATCTGGGGTTCCCATGACCCCTCCTTAGGTTAGAATGATTCACCAGAGTAGGTCACAGAACTCGGGAGCCATTTTATTTGCATTTACCCATTAATCATGAAGACATTACAAAGGATGCAGATGAACAGGCAGATGGAAGAGAAACACAGGGCAGGATATGGGAGAGGGGTCAGAGCATCCATGCCCTCTACAGGCATATTGCGCTCCAGGAACCTCCATCTGTTCAGCTACTGAGAAGCTCTTCTCAGCCCAGCCCTTTTAGTTTTGTTTTTGTTTTTGTTTTTTTTTTTCCTGTTGTGTTCTGTTCCTTCTCCCCTCCCCGACCCCTACCAATCCTGGGCTTTAAACCTATGGGTCTTGCATTCTGGATTGGCTTTTTCACTCAAGCCACACCTCCATTTTTAGCTTTCTTTTTGCTGGTGAATTGTAGATAAGAGTTTCTCAGTTTTGGCTGCCCAGAATGGCTTTGAAACTAGCTAGGATTATAGGCCTGAGCCACTGTTGTTGGACTCCTTGGGGGGGGTGGGTTATGGAGGTTTAATTATTTAAGCATGTTTGATAAAAATCATTGGTATATGATGAGCAACTCACCTTTTAGTCCTTCACCTCTTCTCCAGAGAGGTTGTAGAATAGGATTGTAAATTCTGACTTGATTTTTATGGCTACCAATTCTCCATCCTAAAATGATCTAGGGACACCTACCACTAATCACAATAGCCTACAAAAGACACTTAGTTATTAGCAATCAGCAGATTCTGAGGGTTTTAGGAGCTTAGACCAAAAAATGAGTCCCAGTAAGTGTGTATATATATGTGTGTATATGTACATATATATGTGTGGCTATATATATATATATATAATATGTTTTATTATAAAACATATATCACATTTACATTTTTCTAATAACAGTGATGTTGAACAATGTTTTAACAATCCTTATCTTTTTTTTGGTCATGGGGCTTGAACTCTAGGCCTGGGTGCTGTCCCTGCACTCTTCAGCTCAAGGTGAGTGCTCTACCACTTGAGCCACAGCACCACTTCCAGTTTTCTAGTGGTTTATTGGAGATAAAAGTCTCACGGACTTTCCTGCCCAGGCTGGCTTTGAACCACGATCCTCAGATCTCAGCCTCCTGAGTAACTAGGATTACAGGCATGAGCCACCAGTGCCCAGCTAATCCTTATCATTTATATAGTTCTCTTTAGAATAATGTTTGTTCAAGTCGATGCTTTTGCAAACAGGTGTGGTTTTGTTTTTTGCAAATATTTGTAATATCAGAGATATTACAAATATTTTTTCCTTTTCATTAGGTTTGCCATTTGAGAAAACTGTTGATTTTTTTCTGCTTTTATTCTAGTACCATGCTATTTTGATACTGTAGCTTTTTATTATGTTTAAAATCACTCATGTGAGTGCTCCAGAAATAATTATTGCTTAAAGATTGTTTTGATTTTCATGACTTCTTTTTTTATGAAATCTGGGATTGGCTTTTCTTCTGGAAAAATGCCATTATTAGACACTGCATTAAATCTACATTTTAATAATATTAAATCTTGTATTTAAAGATGTGACCATGTCTCATCTATTTATTTGTGAGTAATTTCTTTGAGCAATGTTTTGTTTTCAGTGTGAACATTTTCTCTTCATCAAATTTATTTCTGTGGATTTGATATATCTTTTGATAATATAAATGAATTACCAATTTCCTTATTTTTATTCTTAGTGTATGAATATTTAACAGATGTAGTATACATTGATTTATATCATAAAATTTTGATGATTTCATTAGTTCTAACAGGTATTTTTTGAATATTCAGATTTTCTACATTTATGGCTATGTCTAAGAGTGTGTCACATTCTAAGTATTTTTAAGGTATTATTTGAAAGAATAAGTTTGTTTCTGCATTGCTTAGGGTAGTTATATAAATTTTTATCCTTATAGGTAGTATGTCACCTTGTTTAATTTTCATATGTTGATCTCTTCTTCTATCCTTAATAATAAGGCTCTGTTGCTTTGGGTACATGATCCTTCTACTATACTATTAAAGTCAATGTACTAGCATTTTGGTTAGTATTTTAAGATCTGTGTACATCAAGGGTATTATATGATAATTTGGTAATTTTATTTCAGTGTTTTGTTTTTTCCAGAATTGGTATCAGGATCATGTTGGCCTCATAAAAAATTTTTGGAAGTGTTTCCTTCTCTTCAGTTTTTTGGAAGTATTTGAGAAGTGTTGGCTTTGATTAACTGATAGAATTATTTCACTAGTAAAGCAATGACTCTCAGCTTATCTTTGTTAAGAAGATTTTCAGTACTGATTTAGGCTTCTTATTCAGTATGGACCTGTTCAGATTTTCTGTTTCTCTATGATTTAGCCTTGGCAGGTTATATATTTCTAGTAATCCATATCTTCTAGATTGCCCAAAGTATGCTGTATAATTGTTCTGGTAGTTTTTTATAATCCTTTTAATTTTATTGGCATCAATTTTAGTATTTTTATCTGATTTTAAGTGTTCTTAACTTTTTTTTTAGTCTAGCTAAAGTTTTGTCAATTTTGCAGGTGAAAAACAAATTTTTAGTTTTTCTGATTTTTTTCTATTTGTTTTTTATTCTTCATTTCATTTGTTTCTGTTCTTATCCCAATTATTTCTTCTGCTGTTTCTTCTGTTACTTCTTCTGTATTCTTTTTTCTGCTAACTTTGGGATTCTTTATTTTGTAGGTATAAAATTTCTAGATATAAGATTTTCATAATTGGGGCTGGGAAGGTGGCTCAGTGGTAGAGCGCTTGCCTTGCATGCATGAGGCCCTGGGTTCGATTCCTCAGCACCACATAAGCAAAAAGAAAAAAGCTGGAAGTGGCGCTGTGGCTCAAGTGGTAGAGCACTAGCCTTGACCTGAAGAGCTAAGGGACAGCGCCCAGGCCCAGAGTTCAGGCCCCATGACCGGACCCCCCCCCCAAAAAAAAGATTTTCATAATTGTTTTTTGTCTCCTTTGACAGTTTTGATGTGGAGTCAGTTTTTCTGGTATAAATATGACCATCCCTCTTTTCTTTATAGTTGCCATTTTGTGGAATGTCCTCTTAATCATTTTATTTTCTAAATTTGTTTCTAAATCTTAAGAAACTTATTAAAGCTAAGTGTTGGATTTTGCTGCCCCGGCTGGCTTTGAACTATGATCCTCAGATCCCAGCCTCCTGAGTAGCTAGGATTAGAGGTGTGAGCCATCAGTGCCCGGCTAATTCACAAACTTTATAGACTGTGATAATGACAATTTGCCTTGTGAAGGTTAAAATGTGTTTGTGACTTTAATTATTAAGTATCACTATCTCACAACACTGTGAAATTTGTGAAATTTACATAATTACTTAATCCCAATAAATTATTTTTTAAAAAAGAATTCCATTGTGTATATATACCACATTTTCTTGATCCATTCTTCCATGGAGGGGTAT